GCATCCCGGCAGAGCCCTCCGGGAGCACCGACATTTTGAATGCATGTGTTGCGGGGCAGGCTTTGCTGAGACGTGGTGAGAAATCTCTCTTTCTCTCTTTCTCTCTTTCTTTCCTTTTCCTTTTTTTTTTCCCCCCTTTCCCCCCCTCCCCCGCCGTGCCCAGGATAACAGTCCTCACAAATAAACGCAGAAGCTTTCCTCCCCTCGCTTTTTTTTTTCCCGAGCGAATTTCAGCACTTTAGGGAGTAGATAATATTATATGGTTGCTTCTGGCTGCCCAGTGGATTGCCAGGTACATTAGTGGAAGAGACCCTCTTCTTTCTTTCAAAAGCTAAAAAGTGGTGGTTGTCTACTGTTTTAACTCTTTCCTCGTGTGAACAATGCAATGGCATTTCCTACCGAGCCCATTGCTTATCCCACCATGGAATAAAAGCATGGATTTCATTCCTCTCCCCACAATGAAAGGTGGAAAGAAGGTCTTTTCGTGCTCTTCACTGTGCGGTCATTGATGGCACCGGCGACTGAGCTGAATTCACCTTCAAATACCTTCTCATTCACGCTGCCCCGCGTAAGCGCCTTAGGTGCCCGCACCTCTCCCCCTCTTCCCCCCCAGCAGCCCCAGACCCGCGCTTTCACCCTCCGCTGCCCCAGCTCCAAGCCTGCTCGTTCCCTGGAGGATCCCTTTAGGATCTGCCCCTGTTCAAAAGGAATTCAGCAGCCCCCGCCGTTGTTCCGAGGACGATTTAGAAACAAAGGTCAAGTGTAAGAGCTCTGCTCATCCGTGTGACTGAAATAGGGGAGAGGGCTCTTTCCCCATAGTCGTGTTCTCACGTAGCCCGGTCAGTGTGAATCCCGGTACAGCTACAGTTTAGACTCTCTTGCTTCACATTTTTCTGTGCTTGCTGTATTTGTTTCTATTTATACATCTCATCTCGATCCTATATTGTTTACTGCCCGTCCCTGGGCTGCTGCAGGGCAGGCTCTGCTCCTGCCTGGGAGCTTTACTTTTCAGTTGGTTTATGTCTCAATAAACGCTCTCAAAAAGATTTCGTTCCATCTCACACGCTGCAGTCTTTTGTCTCCGGGTCAATATTAGTGTCGATATTTTCACAAATATGAGAATTTGTAAAACTGGACTCTTTGATGTTGCCAGACTACTGGGGGGGGGGGAAATAATCACAAAATCCATTGCTGAAACCACATCCGATATTAGAATCCATGCTTGGTATAAAGATTCCCGGTTAATGAGACTTGCTTTACATTATTTTCTCCTCGTTCAGCGAACGTAAAAACCTTCAGGAAAGTTGCCCCGCGGCACAGCCCAGCAGCTAGACACCTTTTATCACCTCCAAACCCCGTGAGGTGCCCGTAACCCTTCGGCTCATTTATTTCTTGTGTTTCCCAGAGGCTTTTTGTAATAACTATTAACTTCCTGGGGCGACAGAGCGTAATTTTCGCTCCATCTAACGAGGATTCTCAATTTATAATATGGTTTCCACTGAACGGAGTGGCTCACAGAGAAAATGCAGCAGTCAAACCAAATAAAACGTACCTTTAAACCAGACTTACCACCGCCCGTGACTCACCCGCTAACGCTGTAGGCACGGCCGTGGTGCGACACGTCCTGGCTTTAAACCTGAACTTCTGGCATGCAATAAAAGCCGCTATTTCTGCCTAGGCGGGGCATTTTTCTCGGAAAAGCAGTTGGTTTATTAAGCCGCCGCTTAAACTTCGGCTTAGAGTAAATTAAATGCTGGCGGAGCTCAAAAGGGGTCTGGGATGAGTTTGGTTGGGGTTTTTTTTCAGTAGCACAGGTGAAAAATGAGTGAGAAAGATGAATATTACCTTTCGGTGTTCAGCTCTGCCGTAGCAGCGAATGGGAGAAATCCTGGTGGCAGCGCGGATTTCTGCTTTATATGAGTGCGGGGCGCTGGCTGTGGAGAAGGAAAAAGCTTGGAGCATCCTCCAGGACATGAGGAAAGGGAGAGGGAGAGCAACAGAGAGTGCTTTGGGTCACTTCATCTCGGGGACCTGCGGATTACGTTGCTCGGTTTTAATGTTTCAGGTGGTTTTAGTGCTCTTTATACCGGGCGCTTTGTGGGTTATTTCCCCAAACACGCATCCTATGTGCCGTGCTCCTTGGATTAATGATCTCTCCATCCCTTGTGAACAAAAAATGGTAACAAAAGCGCGCAAAGCTTCATATTTCACAGAGGTTTTTAATCAGAAAACACAGCAGTGTGACAGAGCAGATAGTAAACGTGACAGACAGTTTCAGCAAATCACTTTTGACTCGAAAACGGTAGTAACTGATTTTGCGGGGCTAAAAACTTGGTTTGGTTTGAAGAGTTAAAATCTAAGCTAATGTACACCCCCTCCTCTTTTAAGTGCTACTTTAAGTCCTATTCATTTTGCATTGATTTCAAAACTTCTATTTCGCGCAATTAAATTTCAGACTATTCAAAATAAAGCACTTTAGACTGCCCATCTGTCCGACAGCTGGATCCTGTACAAATATTAGAAGTTTCATGCTAAACTCTTTCCAAAACGGTGCTGAGCGTCGTTAGCTCCTGTTGTAGCTGGAGAGGTAAATGAATTTGGGTCTGACGAATACTCTCAACTGTATTGCAATGGAAAATTTTCAGTGGTTAAATTGCCATTTTCAATGATTAAATTGGTTTTAGGTGCAAGCAATAACATAGCTTCCCGAATATCAAACGTGCTGCTTCCTAAATGTCACTGTATTCAAACAGTTCTGATTTGTGACATGCATCTATCATTAAAATAGTTTATTTCCAGGAAAAACAGAATAGTTGGTGGAAAGCAAATATTTCTTAAAGAGCATCTAAACTGCATTCAGCTTATGAAGCAACTAGAAAACTTCTTATGTTACAGCCTTCGTGTCCTCTTGCCTGTGACAATTGTTCTCTGATGCTTGTTTTGAAACTAGAAAAAACGTCTCGTTCAGTGCACAGTAAACACGAACTACTAAACTGAGCTGTTTAAAACCTCTGGCAATCAAAAAAAACACCACTTGTACTCTTTCTGGTAACTAAATTCAAAACCAGCTTGGTGAAAGTTGAAATACACAAAGGGGGAAAGTGTCATCTACATTTAGAAAGTAAGTGACCTACTTCTACATGCTCTTGTTAGTGTCAAAATGCAGCTATTTCCCAAAGCCTCTAAGCGCCATCCTCTGTCCTCAGGCCAAGCAGCCTTTGACTTCAAGCTCTGCCTGAGCAGGGAGTTGCAGGTTACCCCTTAAAAGGCTGTTTTAATCCAAAACAGGACTTCAAAACCTTAAGGGGGATGGGGGGACGGGGGGGGGGGGTAGGGAAGAGGGGGAGTTGCGTTGAGAGGTGGGAGAAATCACAGTAAGCTATTTCCTTTTCTTAAAAGTCCAGCAACATTAAGCATGTGAATATATAACTCTTGTATTAATGACTTAATACCAATGAGCTAAACTAAATTGTAAAACTTGATACTGGAAAACTAGATATGAGCGACCGACATAGACACAGCTGAGTAAATGGCAGGTGTAAGAAATTGCTGGGAGGGTGGATTTAAAACATTTCCATTATCTAAAAACCCACCTCTAGAATTTGTAGAGACTTACACTATGAGCACTTCAAGAAAAAAAAAAAAAAAAAAAAAAAAAGGTTGCAAAAAATTTTATTAAAAAGGGGGAAAAAAAAAGAAGGCTTGGGAGGGTGGATTTAAAACATTTCCATTATCTAAAAACCCACCTCTAGAATTTGTAGAGACTTACACTATGAGCACTTCAAGAAAAAAAAAAAAAAAAAAAAAGAAGGTTGCAAAAAATGTTATTAAAAAGGAGGAAAAAAAAAGAAGGCTGAAAGACTTAATGTCCAAAGGGGTGCCCGTCCGAGTTGGATTTAATTCCTGTCTTCAGGGAATAAGCTGCTGTCCTCCAAGAGCTTCACCACGGCGGATCTCTTGTAGAGCTTGGCCAGGTCGTAGGCGGTGGCCCCCCGCTTGTTCTGGTGGCCCACCTTGCACTCCGCGCACTCCAGCAGGAACGCCACCACCCGCACATGCCCCTCCCGGGCCGCCAAGTGCAAGGGCAGGTTGCCCTCGTTATCCTCAATGTTAACATCAGCTTTAAACTCCACCAGAGTCTGCAAAGTGTCCAGAAAACCCTCTCTGGCTACATCATGTATTACAGCGAAGCCAGTACTGTCTTTGAGATTGGGGTTTGCCCCGTTAATTAGCAACCTCCTGGCAATTTCGGGGTTCCCGAGTTTCATTACCTATGAAAGAAAAAGAAGAGTTGAATACCGGGGGTGTGTGTGTGTGTTTGCTTCAGCATTAGGTTTAGAGCCTCAATTCTCATCTCTGGGTTTTGTCACGGCTCAATCCTCATTTCAAACAGACAGGAGAGCCCCACTCTAAAACTAACGATACACCAGACATCTAGTTTTTATGTATTTTTTTTTTTCTAAACTCGGTGAAATGCTGAAAGATGCTATCATTTCGGTGGTAACAGCTTTCTGTCTCAGAGAGATTAATGTCTGAAACAGGCGGTGTAGAATGAGGATATAATAACTTTTCTTTTTTTTTTTTTTAACGTGGGCTCCAACAGTTTCTTAACATCCAAAAATTAAGTATGGTTCGGTTTTATTTGCCTAAGTATTGACACACCTTTGCATTACTGTTTAATCTCGTTAAACATCAAATATAGGGGCTCCGAGGAACAGATATTTCACCTCAGCAACAGTAAATGTAGAATGTGTTTTTATAAGCTTTCAGGTGTTTACATTGTCTGTGCATTATCATAAAACAAATATTTGGGCTGTACCATAGTTCTGTCTGCTAAGAAAAATAAATGCTAGAAGAAATTTTTCTCCCCAATATTTGTGTTTCATTATGTCACCCAGAAAGGAGAAGTTAAAAGGAATGTTTCAAAGTTCCAGCAGTTTTCTTCTAAAACCAGTATATTATATTATAATTTCCTAATTTCACTACAAGTAAACCGTAAGTATATTCTGTTGTTAAAAAACATCCATTAAAAAAAAATCCAACAACAACAATTGGATTTTTTGACTGTTCCTCTGAGGAAAAAAAAAAAAAAGCTTCTTTAAATTTTCTCGATTGCATCATAAAACTAGCATAGTTAGAACACAAATCTCTCTTATTTGTGACTTAACAGCTTGTACCGATTTCCCCCAAATCCCTAATTTTTGTTTTCTCAAAGACTTTCAAAAAGCGAACACAGTAATGTATAATTCCAAGCCTATAGGCAGCATTTTCCTGTTCTTGTTATGATTCTCACTGTAAGTGTCAAGTTCGAAAAAATACCTTTCTTATTTTCTTAGAAACCTCCACACACCGATTTGAAAATCTCAGTACAAAAACAATTTATCTGCATAAATGAGCATTACAGTGCATTAGATTTAACATAATGTACAATTTCTACGAGGCATTTGCTGAAAAACTCTCCTGGTGAAAAAAAAATGTGTTAGGCTTTTTAAGAAAAAGCAAGCTATAATAAATGTAATTACTGCAGCATTTGGACCGTAAAGCAGCCCAATATAATATATCTACAGAGAAGAGCAAAAGTGCAGATAAGACAGGCTGGGGGTCAGAAAAAGAGACTTCTCTGTGCCCCAAAAGCTTCCAGCTCCGAATGTGCCATTTCTTTCACTTCTGACTAGAGATGGAAACGATGCAAAAGAAAACAAGAGCATTGTGATCTCTCTTTCTTGAATAAAATCTGGACATTTTGGTTCCTTTTTGAGGGCCCGGGCTGTATTATTTGTGAATTCAAAAGACGTATTTGGTTTAAGTAGGAGTTTGCTGTGTTCAGGCTGGGGGACTGAAGGCTTCAGTTAAAGATGCGGG